GATGTGACAGGTGGGTTAACGGCTTGCCACCACCTTGCCCGCACCCAGCTCCTAAGTACCTGGCTCATGACGAACCCTAGCTAATGCTTGCCTGGGAATGTGTCTCAAGGGCAAGTATGGCTTAGAATCGCTAGCCTAGTGAAGTTCCCCAATGTCTCAACCGCACCCGCATCCATTGTATACAAAAGTGCATATTAGTGTAGAACTAGTGAAGTAGACTAAGAAGATTTCATAGTGATGAGGATTAAGGAGATCGTAGTAGATCCTCAGTAAATTCATTGTGCATTTTGCCCTCAACTACACACGCTTCCTTCCAAAGTGCTACAATTAGTAGCACTTCCTGGTTCCCTCGCCCAAGCCCCTTCAAACTGCTGTACGTAGCCAGTCTTCTTAGAGGTTGTTGTGGTCGTTTGCAGAGACAGCACATCGCCAATAGTTTTGAAAACGTGGTCTTTGCTATCTGCCGGTTAAGCTACACCAAGACCTTTGCGGGTTCGTCACCCACGCGTGGTTATTAACAAGTTGCGTGCCCAGATCCCAGAAGCGAAGAACTCCGACGCCCGCAACGCTATCCAAGAGATCACAAACTTATTGATCCACCGGAACGACCAAATCGAAGAACTGATTGAAGATGTCCTCGAGCGCAAGATCCAAGTGTACCAGAAGGCCCGTAAGATGAAGGCTAAAGCGAGAGTAGATCGAAGTAGAGTAATTGAATTTCACAAAAATTACAAGACGGATGAAGTTTTGCGCACAATGGCAGAATCCTTTCAGCGACATGAACAGCTGTTGGAAATGCTTACACGTACCCAAGCAGCTCAGGTGGAAGTGAGCGAGCGAATAGCCAGTCAACACATCGAACGAGCGACACGACAAACAGAACTTAGAGTTGAAGGATTAAAGATGCCGAAGTATTATGGACGAATGGACGAAAGTATTAGCCTATACATCCACCAAGTTACGACCTTTTTCAAGGCAATGAATGTGGATTGCCAAGAAAACGATGGGACTCAACAGCGATGCATTGCCATGATGATGGCAAATTTCCGTTGCCTTGCCGCAGCCTGGTACCAAGAACGGCTTTCGCGCGGTGAGTTTCCAAGCACCCTCATTGAACTACAAGAAGAGCTGCGAGTCAAAGTTTGAACCCGACAATTTACAAGATCGGCCGCGTGATCAGCTTTACGAATTGAAGCAAGCCCAGTGTGCGAGCTTGACCGAGTATGTTGCTAAGTTGCGACGAATCTGTACGCAAGTGTGCGAATTTGCCGAGCGCGACAAGGTGTCCTGGTTCCAACGTGGTCTGCAAACCAGAACTTGTGAGGAGTTGCAGTATCGTCGTTGTGAGACTGTGACTCTCGCGATCCAAGTTGCCCTGAACTATGAGCGCTCCCACAACTCGATCCTTAACGGTGGTCACGCCTGAGACCGCGACCGCTTTTATCGCCACGATCGCCGCCCACATCAAGGATTTCAAGATCTCCGCCATCCGTTCAACAACCGACTCCAAGGAAACCGCCCGCCGAATGCGTATCCCCCAAGCCAGCACCAAGATGACGATATGGAAGTAGACAACGCCCAAGTACAACACCGTGGACAACGCCAAGTAGACCCCTGTTACAACTGCGGACGCATGGGCCACAGAATCAGTGACTGCCGCTCTCAACCCCGGAACAATCAAGGAAGAAGCCAAGCTCAACCCCAGCGCAACAACATCTCAAGACATGCCAACCGGCCTCAGCGACCCCAGCGCAATACACCAAGTCGTCAGCACAATGCTCAAGTAACCGAAGTCAACAGCGACACAGAAGACAGCGAAGATGACGTAGAAGAAGTGATCCTAGGCAACAACATGGGCCTAGCCCAGCAAGACTCCGCGGAGGAGTCGCTTAACATCAATACCGCCCAGCAAGCAGTGCCAGCGCAAGAAAACAAGTTGATGATAGTTCACGGCGCACTCGACAATACAAGCGTTCGCATCCTGATCGACTCTATTGCCTCGAACTTGCTTTGCCGCCCAGGCTTGGCCAAGACAGTGATCCGCTCCGAAGAAGTTCAAGCAGAAGGCCTTGATGGACACTGCTCTGGCATCAAGAAAGTGAAGGAAATATCTGACACACTTTGCTTTGGTCAATGGACGTTCCTGGATCTTATACTTACCGAGTGGGATCTCGGGAAGAAGGACTTTGACGTCATAGTGGGAAAACCTTTGCTCTTTTATTTCAACCCTGTCATCGACTGGCCAGCGGTATGTGTTAGGGTAGCAGCAACTCTAACCCGCCACGCTAATGACAAATTCAATGTGTTGACAGCTACCAACGTTGATTTTGACATCATGCTCGGCAAAACACAGTACGAGCAATGTTTTCAGGCAAACCTTCGGTGCAGCCAGTCGACATTCCGCTGTCTTGCGTCGTGGCTCAGCACATTACATCCAGAGTTGATGAGACGGGAGACGTCGCACTGGTTCAAGAAGAAGGTTGCAGTGCAGCTGTATTTTCTGTGGTCCGAGGGTGGTTATCGTGAAACAGGAGCTGCATTTGGCATGTCCAAATCGTGGAGCGTGGAGACCGTGAACGTATTCGTCGCTGCCTTGGCGAAGCAAGCAAAGTAGTGGATTTCGATACCCCAAACCCCCGCCGAGTGGCTTCGAATCGAGGATATCCGACCTGGATCATACTCCGACAAGAAAATCTGGAAAACATCGAAATTGGGAAAATCGATTCATGGAAAAATAGCTATGGGATATTTCATATCCTGGTCGATGCTTGGTACACATTGCTGTCATGGCTTATCACCCCTTTCGTTTCCCACGAAGAGGGTGGAAAGTTGTCCAAGTTGCAAAAGCACTTCAATTTTTAAACTCTCCAGCTACAGAATGTCGGTCGAATGCGCGTTTGGGTGGTTGAAGGAACGATTCCGAATTTTGAAGACGCCCGTGAAGGAAAGGTCGTTGAACCGTACAGTATCCGTCGTTACCGCATGTTTTGCACTGCATAACATATTTTTGTACTACAAAGACGATCTATTTGACAATCCCTGTCAACGGCGCCATCGGAATGATCACGTCCAACCTCAAGACGATGACTATGTTGAAAACAATTCACTGCTTCGACACCTTGTAGTGAACAAGCGTTATTCCATTGCAAAGATAATTTACCAATAAGTTGTCAAATTTGAAATCTCGAAAAGTACGTGCTTACTCATTCTTATTTCCCTTTTCGGCAACTAAGTGAGACAGCAGTTGGGTCATCGTGTCCGATTGCGACTTGATCGCAATTAACCCATTGTCCAAAGTGGTACCCAGTGCTGGCTGCACTTGGGGTTGTTGAGGCATCGACGTGCCTAAAAACATCAACCCTTCCTTAATTGCATTGAAACCAGCTTCGAGTGACTCGGATTGTGACTTGGATTTCGCGTCACGACTGCTCTTCTTTTGTTTCTGCTTTGAAGGCTCCTCCGCCATTTCTATTCTATTTCTTTGGTATCGTCGTCATCAGCAACGAACGACGAGTCGACAGACTCGCCAATCATATCTATTAAATATAATTTGTAAACGTGTGATAAAAACAAAAAATTGAATAAATACACCAACATTGCATACCCGTGCTGTTTTGTAAGCTATCGCCCTCGCTGATGTCGTCAGTGCTCATAAGGGACTCTCGCTTGTACCCGATCTTATCACCCCAATACTCGAGCATGGCGTCGAAATGTATCGGCTGCGGTGGTTTGGTCGCATTCCCTGTCGGACTAGCCAAACTGGGCTTCGACAACGACCACTCGGACTTCATTTTCGCGAGCTAGTGCATTTATTAGTTTATAAAGCTTAAACATGAAGTGTCTTACCTTATATTGCACCTGCTGCAGGAAATTCCCGCTCCATGGACACACTGAGCTCCGTTGCTAGGACGACATATGCCTCTCGCTTGCCGTAGTTGTTCTTGGATTCAAAACGAGGCGCCAAGGCCGACTTATACCGTAACATGAACATCTTCTCAACGCTGTCGTCGCACCAGAGGTATGTGCGTGGCACTTGCTTGCGAAAACGCTTGGGTTTCATTGCACTTGGTTGTGGAGCCTCTATTACTCATGGTTGAATACAACAGGTCGGATTCGTGTGTCGTTATCACCTAAGCTTTCATCACGGACTGTGATGTCTTTGTCGTTGCTGGCCAAGCCATTCATTAAGTCTTTAAACCAGTTGGTGACTATTACACAATATAACTGAAAAGTTCCAATTTGACTCAGCCACATCAAAAGTATTCACTCTGCTTCCAATTTGGTGGCAGCTACCAAATACTACTCTGGCGCACAATAGTTGTCGCCTCCATTTCACTTGATTTATGTATGCCAAATCTTGAGTTTTCCGAATAAACCTGTCTAATTGGATATGAAGTATCGGATTATATAGCTAAATACACCAGAATCGGGTGATGGCAGGTCGCTTCCGATATGGCTTGGTGACGCATGGCTGTATGTCAGCTCAGAGGTATGGTGCGAGCACGCTTTCAATGAATGACATGTAGCATTCAATCTATAGGTTCACTCAGCGGAGTACGAACTCTCGAAGAGTTCCCTAGTAGCAATAAGAGCATGGCACAGACATCGCCGTCCTCCCATCGTTGGTGGAGCTACTGGACTACAAACAGGCCAAACTGCGTTGCGTGCCAGTGAGAAGCTTCAGAAGAGATGTATAATGCTACAGGAATCGAAGTGTATGTGAACTAACGACGTCTTCATAGCCTGGCAGGTGAAGCACCACAACTTGTTCTTCGCGTGCTGCAGTTCTGATGTCGTAGCATCAAAACTACGACAAAATGAGAGGACCTGGAAATAGCCAATCAAAGAGGAGATCCTAAGATATCGATTGCACCAATCAGAAGCAAAAACGGTGGAGTATTACAAAAATTCCACCAATAAGAAGTCGAACGTGACAATGTTATGCGCCAGATTAGTACACATTATAACTGAATTTATGCAAACAAATTTACTTTTAACACAGAAAAATGCGAAAAGATTGACATACTGATTAGTTACTCGCTCTTTTGGAAACTGTACAAGGTCTGAACAATTCAAACTAAATGACCGAACGATGCATGTAGCGAACAGATCGGTCCATGGCAATACGATTCTGGTAGCGGCGCTGAGAGTCGGCACGCTTTCACTTGTGTTCGTTCGCCATCCCTTGGTAGCGCGCCATGATCAACGCATAGTAGACTTCGTCTTCAGCGCGCACGGGCATCAACGAGATGTGAAAGTTGGTCAACGCAAATGTCGTGCGTTGAATGACTCCATAGATCTTCTCACCCCATATGAACGTGACGGGGACACCTTCCACAAGGAGCACACGCGGCCGAAGAAGCTCTCGACGACCACACGGTCGGAGGACACCCGGCGGTTGCGCTCCACGTCAGCGACGTCCAAGGCTACATTCTGCGGGCTGCGCTTCGGATGGATTCCACGCAGCGTATGGTCAACACCAATGTACCCCATGTCCACGAGGCAAGCCCATGTCGCCGTGTACTCAGCTGACAGTTCACCATGGTCAGGCATAGCGGCTTCGCAGGCGGACTTGGTCAAGTTGGTCGTGTGCAACTCACGGCGTGTATGCAGGATCGTAAGATCGTGCACAGACCCAGGATGTGCGTCGGACATTGCAACACAGCGCCCATCCGGTGAGACCGCCGCCTCGATCTTGTAACCATACATGTGATGCTTACCACTGAAATAGTGCTTCTGTTCCGCGAACCGTCCAGTGGGGCGCAAGGAAGGTTGGAACTTCACGTCAACAGTGTATAGGGCATACGGGAAGTTCGAAAACCGCCTGCTTGCCGCAGTCAAGGAGGTCATCGTCGGGCAAACGATCAGCTGTTCCGAGAATAGCGGCTCAATGGTCTACGATGTGGTCAGGCAAGCTCAAAGTAATGTACCAACCATGACAACTCGCATGATGAGTTTCTCAAATGTCGGTGCTTTGAAGCCAAAGTCAGCAGCGTGCTTGTCCCAAGTGCTGAAATGCTTCATCACGGTCAAGGCCATGAATAGGCTATCCTTGGGGCTTGTTGAACAACGGCGTCCACGGCCCTCCATCCACGCCGCGCTCATGGTGTTAGCGACCATGGACCAGAGTGTTTCGAACTCGGATACGGTAAAGTTTGTCAGAGTACGGATACCCTCTGGTCCAAGGTCGTCTCCAAGATCGGGTTGGCGACGTCGTCGACCCGTTCTTCGTTCAGTCGAGCTATCTCGCCGTTGTCGACAAAGGAAGATTCAAGGAACGAACGTTCACGGACGGACTGTTCTTGCAGGCGGATGAACACGTTGTTGGTGTTGATGGGCGCCATGATAGAGTTAGTGCAGATTGCAAAGTGATGGATTGATAAAAATCTGTGAGGGGTGAAGTGAACCATAGTTTTGGCGGCAAAATGCGCGGCTGGTATTTCTAGAAAGTTGTAGTTAAACCTACTTGTGTCAAAACAAATTACGTATTTTAATTCCCTTAAATAGTACATTTTTTTTCGCCAAACGCCAAACACTGTTTCTACTTAAAGTGTACTGTTATTAGGTAGTCCATTTGGTTTAAACAATGCACCTATTTTTGGGGGTTTGAAGTACACTGTACTTGCGAACTGGCTGGCGTCCTTGGAATTCTGTTGTTACTCGTCTTGCAGATGAGTAGATATTCCTCATATGTTCAAGTGAACTCATGGTTCATCTAGTACAACTGGTCTATCGTTGTGCTTTGCATTGCTTTGACACGAAGCGTGCACAAGACTGGTTAAAATTTTAGAGGACTTGGTAAATCGCCAAAAAAGACATGAAGAATCAGCAAGTGCAATGCTCAATTAATAATCACCTAGTCAAGTGGAATGTGAGCATACATCAAATCAGACACTATGTAATTGATCAGTACTGAAGTCTATCACCAAGTGATGAGTTATATTGGAATTCTGTATGGTTCTTTATGGTTCTTTCCTATTGCGATTTGTCTGAGATCATGAACGCACTTACTGTTACTAAGGTCTATTGCATACCCAGGTGCTTCTCTGTACGACCAGTAAACACGAATGACGTTCGCAAGCGTGGATGGTCATTCTCTGCCTGGCAGTGCCGTATAAGACATGAAGTGTATCCGGAAACCGGTTAACTTGGGTCAATCAAATCTCTTTTGTATATGTTGGTTTGGCCGAAGCATGAACGAAAATATTCCCCGACCAGGCCCTAACGTTAACTTGAAAACACTGTATCACATGATGGGTTACATTCCACGCCGACTTTCTTGTGTGAACGGCGAAATGTGTTGTGACAGTGACAAATTTTGTTGTGATGAAAACCTGTACTCCTGTGTGGTTTCGGGGCACTATTACAAGTGAAAAAGCGATTCATCTTGCGGACTCAAAATATCGCACCCATTTTGGATGTACCAAAACGACACAACAAGACGTCACCCTAACAAGAGAGAAAACATCCTGCCGTGTCGTTGTGGTATGTACGTATGTGGTATGTACTGTACGTATGCAAGCTCTGTTGTGTCTGTGAGTCGCTGTTAGTGGCTGTCGGGTGGGCGCACAATTCGCTCGCATTGACTAACACCAAAGTAGACTATCATGAATTGTAAGGGATTCAGTGCACGTACAGGGTGTAGTGTCGCTGCAGTCGCTGCATTGAATGTGCTACCTGTGTATGTATTTTGGCAGTGTTCATGGGCCTCTTGTCAAGTCCAGCCACGTGAAAATTCCCACATAAAAACACCACGTGTGAAAAATTCATACCCGTTATTTAAGTCGACGTTCCATTTCTCGTATAACAGTAAACTGCACAAGAGGGACGCTTGGGTATCATTCCGTAATGTCTTCAATGGAGAGGATCCATTGCTCATTGGAGTAGTGATTCTTAAACCGGAGATTTATGCAGTTCACAGGACTTGAAATAGTGTCGAAATTCTTACTCGTGCTGATGAAAAATGCATGTGAAGTGGGAAACTTTTCATTGGCTGAAAAAAAGCAGGAAAATAATGAGGTTTTATTGGTTGATTTCTCTCAATCCTATGCGCATTGGATACAAGACTACAGAGAACCGAGTACTGTATCGTGGGCGTCGTCTATAAACTATCAATTTTTCACAAAGTTTTTTTACTTCTATTTCATATTAATTACTCAAAATTTCAGCAAATTGAGACGTAGAATCGACAGATCTCGATGTGGTGAAGAAATTCTAGGTAAGAAATAGATATTTTAACTTAGCGGTATTTTACATGGGCGTTTGGATATTTGGCCATAGGGGTTGGCCGCTGAGATGTATCTTGATATTTTTATGTGACTCTTATCCGTATATAATATCCGGAGGCAGTTGGGACCTTTAACCTCCCACTATAGGTTAAATAATAAAACTTCCACTCTTCGATTTGGCCAGTTTGAAGCTTTTAGATGACGTGCACCATACAGAGAACCGAGTACTGTGATATTCTAAGGCCGAGTCTGGATGCCACAGAAAATTATATGTCAAACAATATTCTGACAGAGAATTCCCTTTTCAAATGCGAGGTGAGAAAATATTTTCAAAATTTTGATGTGACTTCTGGATATCCATGATGGAAGGAGATCTCGGCCTACTACCCCCAAGGACAAGGTCTAGTTGAACGTTTCAACCGTACGAGCATTCAGATACTCAAGATCTATTTGAATGACCATCAGACGGACTGGGACACCTACCTACCGCGTGATCTCTTTGCGTATCGCACATCCCACCACGAGACTCTTGGCGACTCCCCATACATTTGCCTCTTTGGACGAGACGCCACACTGCCGTTGGACTTAGCATTTATCGACGCCGAACCCTCCTGGACGTCTAAGGACTTGCAATATAAACGTCGTGGGTCTACAAATACTTCGTTAAGTCCACTCGTCCAGACGACCATCGGACGACCATGTTGACACCGCGACCCACGTCGTACGCATGATCGTCGAATGTCTACAAACGTACTCGATGCGCTTGGAAGGATGGGCAGCACCTGTTCTCGTTATTCTTGAATTCTATGAACGCAGCTTCCAGTGATTGCTCCACGAATGTGCATCGTAGGAGGTACTAGGAGCCAAGATCACACACAGCTGTAATCAACAAAGTCTATTAGGGTCGTTAAGCAAGAGTACCATTCCTGGAAACATGTCCGTTCTCAGTTCAAGGCCTAGGCGCATCACGAAAGGCCAACAGCGCTGCTTTAGCGCATTCTTTTTGAACATTGCCAACTCTGGCCACAACGCGAGTACTTTCGTCCGTAGCTAGCCAATCGTCACTATGCCAGGAAATTCTGTGAGCCAGTGTGACAGCAGCTGGATGCTTGTAGTTGATTCCTTGGGACGCGTGGGCTTCCTAGGGGTTTTCGCAACCCATCCTTTGCGTGGTTGGATTTATTATGCACGCATGCGGTAGTTGTCTTTATCGGGAACCGAAAGGATTTAGAGTCAGTATAGCTTCGACCTCGCATGATTACTTGAGTGCAAATTGTGCGATCTGCTTCGGTCAACGCTTCATTTCTGCGATAAGAAGCTTATTATCAGCAATGGACAGCTTGCAGCGTCATACGGCCTTGTCGCGAGGGGTCTACATCGTGCCAAGAGCTTGCTCAGTTGTATCGTAGTGTGGAGTAGCATGCTCGTTCTCCATGATGGATTCCGATTGTTTACTGGCTGTGACCAATACCGGTAGAATTAACGTTGCTCGTTATCAAGGCGTTCCATAGCATGAAAGGTCCGACCGTGGAATTGTCATCTATGAATATTTTTCTGGTAACAAAGACACGCGCCAGAAAATACCCGATAACCAAAACTAATCAACCAATAGAATGTATGAGCCGGAAACAATTTCGAGAGGTTGGAAGTTACCAGAATTGCTCGGAGCGGGATGGCTGCGCACCCTGGAGAATGTACTTGCCCTGCCACATGATAGAGTCATTAGTATCGGCGTCTTGGATTCATCGCGGCACAGTCGCTGGCACAAGGGGACGGTGCGTTCAATGGGTTGTTCGGTCGTCCTGTGATGACTCTTCTGTCTTGCCATGGGTGCGGTAACATGGGGTTGCCGACAAGGTGGTCCGACCATGCCCAATCATGCCGCAGGTATGTATGTGTGTGCATGCGTGTATGTTATATGTATTATTACTCATCGCGATAGTCGTGTCGTAGCATCAACGTGTTGTCCGAGCCGCCGCTTGCGGCCGCCGTGGCCCACGGGTTTGGTCGCTCGTGGGCCACAAAGCCGCCGCACGTATCGTCGTTTGAGTCGTTGCTTGGCCCCATATACGAAGGGGCATGGTGGGGCAACATGGGGTTGCTGACGGGGTGGTCCGGCCATGGTGGGGCGACTTGGAGTTGCCGGCGGCATGTCCAATCACGCCTCAGGTAGTATATATATGTGCATGTGTATTGCTTAGTACTCAAGTATGTTGTCGAGTCGTAGGATCAATGGGTCGTTCAGCAGTTGCTTGTTGCAGGCGTAGCTCTCAAGATTTAGTCGCTGTGACCACCGACGAGATGACAGGACCACTGGGCCAAGTGCTCCGAACTTCAAGGGTCCGTGTCTACCTGGGTACGAATGTCCATCCATGGTTTATACTTCTGAATATTTATGAATAACACCAATGTATATGCAGTCTTCTTTACACGAGGCTTTAGTTGATTTCGTCAAGGATGTCCAACGAAACTGGGGGGGGCGGATCAATCACTCGTCCATATGCACGAAGCTGGCGGTAATGCATAATCTTTTCATTGATATGCCCCAGTCGATGAGTGCCTTGTAGTGCTTTGAGAACAGCGCTGGTTCCCTTCGATTGCACGTTGTTGCTGCGCAGAAACTCCAGCGCATCGATCTCTGCGGCAGCTCCTGTGGACAGCACGTCGTCGCGGAACGTTTGGCTGTGCCATGGAAAGCAATGGGCTGGTAGTAAAGTTTTTGAGTCAGGTAAATCGACAGTCCTGCACGTCGCTTGTCTTTACTCTCACAAATCGTAGGAAGAAAACACCACCGCCGTCGATGGACAAGTTGTGCTTTCGAACCATCGTCAAATTTGGTGCAAAGGCGTATGTCATAAAGCCCAATGAAATCCTTCATTGGGAATTTCTCTACAAGGATTGTGGCTACATCCTTGTGGCCAAAAATGATTTTAGCCAGTTCAAGTGGTTGAAGGAATCCGACGTGGCGAACGCACAAATTGTGGCGCGTTGTTTGCTGCAGTGGTTCAGGGTTTTTGGCGTGTGTTATCTCACTGGGTGAGTGGCCAGGGATCCCTCTTCAAGAACGAGGTGATTGCCAAGCTCAAACATGTGCTGAGGGCACATCATTATTTTACCACGGCCAGATGTCCATGGGCGAACGGAACAGTCGAAAGTGCGATGAAAGCGACCCTCAAGGCGTTCCGAGCACTCCTGTCCGAGTGGTTGATGCAGCCAGGCCAGTGGCCACTGATTGTCCCAGTGGTGATGTTGGTCCTCAAACAAAGTCCGTCCGACACACTCGGTGGTGTAGCATCGATTACTGCCACGACGGGTAGCTGAGCGATGTCGCCCTTGGATTGCATTCCAATTCCGGCGGCAACAAAAGTTACGACGTTAGACGACTTGCTGTCGTGGCGAAACGATGACATGACGGCGATGGCAACCGCCTTGGACAAAATGTATGCGACAGTGTTGGAGCCTTTGACACGAACGCGTCAGACGTGAAAGAAGATCGAAGGAAAATGGCGCGGAAATGGCCCAGTTCGACGTGGGTGATTTTGGGCTTTACATAGACGTGTGGTGGATTTCGCACTCAAAGCTGAGTGTTACATGGCGTAGACCAGCTCAAGTGGTCAAGACAACATCTGATTGGATTTTTGAAATCCAAAATTTGGTAACGGGGGTGGTCCGTGAAGCCCACAGTAGTCGTCTCAAGTTTTACGCCGACAACACCTTGGATGTGACGGAAGACCGACGGCCATGTGGTCGACCAGTTCCTCGACTGCCGCTACAACGATCGATTGGTCGCGTTGAAGTGTGCGTACGCTGGCGCGGCCTACAAGAAATTGAAGACTCGTGGGAGCCGGCGGCCAATTTGTTGGAAGACATTCCAACTGAGTACAAGCGCTACGTGTGCTCCATAAAGGCCGATGCTCAAGTCAAGGCAATGGCAACTGCGTTGGGCGTGATGCAATCGTTGGGGGGGATTGTTGCGAATTGGCCATTCGCAGAACCCCTGAACCCCTCCCAAGAAGGTATCAAAGCGTTCGATTAGGTTGGATATCCTGTGTGCGATCCGATTCGCTAGTTAGATTATTGGCTGCCCAGCAGCTGTGATGTCGACCTTCCCATACACTATCGAGTGCGTCTCGGGTGAATTGAATGTATGGGGCGATCTATTGAGCCGATGGGGTTCGGCTCCGACGGATCTACCAGTTGCGAATGTTCGCAAGTTGATCCATGTGGTGTCGCCTTTGCACAAATGTGGATTTCGAGTGGCCGACAGTCGCTACGATCAGCGGCATCCAACGTTCAACCATGGAAGGGGGAGGGACCCCCCCAAACGGCATGGGGTGGGACGACGACTCCATTTTTACGAGGCCCCAGATGGTCGAATCTGGTTCCCAGACGGTGCTGTTGACCTATAGCAGCGGGTTTGTGTGATCGCTCACCAAGGACATGGTTGCATTGCATCGACGACCAAGTCGGTGTCCGACAAGTTAGTGTGGAAGACGCTTTCAACGGACATCGAACCGTTCGCCTGTTTGCACTGCCTGTGCAGATGGAGACATGGTTCCCTGTCCATTGGGTTTGGGGTTAAGCCCCAGTGACTACTTGCCACTGGGGGGAATTCACTTTGTGGTCCGTCAAGTTGAGACTCAACAGCGTGGTAGGGATGGCTAATTGAGTGTTGAAAGTAGGAACTTGATATTACCGTAGTGAGGTACATGAGGGGTGATGAACACATCACGAAGGGCTTGAAGCATACATTTGGTGGGAACTTTAATGAAGCAAGCTTAGTACGTATGCACTGTGCACTAAGCTTATATGGATGTCACGAGATTATATAGTGTCAGATACAAGTAGAATGCAGTTAAGCTCGCTAGGTAGTTGGTATATATATCACGCCCACGGCATAAATCATTGGATGATTAACGTTATTTCAAGAAAGTAGACAGGGGCTTTGAAGTACTGTAGGCTCATTCGACCCTGAGTTACTTGATATCACTTTGGAGTACAGATCCGACAGACAAATATGCACAGCTTTGAGTTGTCGCGAGAGTAGCTCCACCCGTGGTTTTTATCGATTTTTAGAGCTTGATAATTATTGGCTCTATTACGACATGTCACCCAAGTACATCTGGTCGATCCGCAGAGGCGATGCCAAGGTAGGTGTCCTCTGAGGAGAAGCACTCCCTCGATGTGACTGTGACCCTTACAGTTCGTGCCGATGAATCCAAGTTGCCGCTTCTCTTTGTCGAGCGGGGACTTCCAGGTGCCCGCATCGAGACGCACGAGCTTCCGACTTACCCTGCTGGCCTTGTATACGCTGTTCATCAAAAGGCCTGCATGAACAACAATGCGTGGAGACTGTACCTGCGCACCTTGCTGTGCCTTGTGTTGAGCGCCGTATGTCATCTTGTCGATAACTTCGAGTCCCACGTGAGTGATGAGTCCTACAGTATCGTTAAAGATGAGCTCAGCTGTCTGTTGGTTCCGTTACCTCCAAGGGCCACGTCCACGTGCCAGTCATTGGACGTAGGGGCCATGGTGCCGTTCAAACGTTTCCTGCGTGTCGAGTGGTTGGCCGAGGAAATCATTGATGGTGAGGATGGAGACGAGTTTGACTCACCTTGTGCTGCGCAAAAGCGTCTCGCAATGATCAACAGGTTGATCCGGGCCTGGGAGAAAGTCAGTGAAGACGTCATTCGCGAGAGCTTTGCCAAAGCGATTCCAAGTGCTTGAACGACAGCCACTCTTTGTCATTCTTTTAAATTGTGAAATTAATATAGGTTTGGAAAGGATTGTATTGGAATGTGTACATATTTTTATAAAAAATCTATATTTAAATAAAGGTCGAAAAAGTTCGACACTAACCTGAGCTCGAACCAGGTTAGTGTCGAACTTTTTCGACCTTTATTGAAATCTACTTGGATGCCGTCGAACTAACCATTGCGCCACCGCGTGAAACGCTTATCTTTAACCTCGTTCTTTGGAATACATCGTAATATATTCTTAAGTTTTCAAGAATTAATGCCCTGCTTAACCAAATGCAGATATTATTTCACCCATTTGCAGTGGAGTGCTCTCATTTTTCATAACCTGTGAAAACAACAAATTATTATTTGAGCTGCGAATAAAAGTACACACCAGTCACTTTCATTGGCTGTAAACTTTGTCGTACTTCGAAATACCTGGCGGCCAATCATTCACAAGCATGATCAGAAAACTCGAAGTACTAGTACCACATAGGCGAACCACTCCCTCCGTGACAGTACTCAGCGTGTACAGTGAACGAGGTAACGTAATCATTCCGCCTGTTTAGTAGTCTTAATGAAATGATGATCCAAACTCAATTAACCGCCTGTTTAGTAGTGGTACTAAGAGTAGTACTTACCCATGTAACAGTGGTATAAATCCGTAATGTTTCTCAGTCTTAAACACACCCCAAGCAGAGGGAGTCATATGGACAAAAAGCCTGTTGAAGAAGTCAAGTAGTGAGAGTGGTTAGGGTGACTTTTTCGGTTATGGTAATCATCGGAATAAGGGTAGAGAAAGCACGAAATACCTTAAACTTAACGTCGGCCCTATTACCAACCACCGATGGCATGATGCGGACGTGAATCAGGATGTACTGGTGTTACTGCGAGTAAGTAGCTACATGGGACAAAACCTCGAACGAT